TTTTTACCTTGCATGGAGAACTTAAATTGCTAGTGAAAGAATATAAATGCCTTACTTCATTACTTTATGTAGGTTAGTTGTGTATCCTTTTAGCAGTATGTAGTAAAAGCTGATTCTTTATTAGGTTAACAGTGTATTGGTCTACTTTCATAAATCTACAAAATATAAATTGAAGAAGTGAGTTTCCAAAGTTCTGCTTAAAGGAATGATTCTGCAAATGTGCATTTTAACATGAGTTTAGTTTTTTCTGTGTACAAGAAAGTACTCTTCCTTAGACTTCATGTAATCCCTGATCCTGAAACTTTGATGTACAGTGGCAGGAATCCTGCCACACTTTGGAGCCCCTGTGGGACTCTGCACTGTGCAGATCTCTGTTCACTCCCAGAAAGTTGGTCTTGGGATCATGGTGTTCTGTACCAGGGAAGGACCCTTGTTTTGGAAATGAACGCTTTTTAAAAATAATAAGCTCTTCACGTATGGATGGTGTCACTTAGATTTGTGTCAGTCTGAGCGTGCTAATGATACCTCATTCAAATCTGTGTAATATTTTGTAATATGAATATCACAGTATCTTTGAAATACAAAGGAAATAAGCGCCTTGCTTCTTTTTGCATAAATTAGTAGCCTTTGCCACCTCCTCTTATTATGTTGAAGTTGTCTGGAATGCTCATCAATCCAAATCCATCACACAGTCAGCGTGCATTGATTTAAAAAGTGCTTAACTGTATTTCATACTCCTGGTTTAACATCAAGTTTTTTGCTGTTTGAAATGACAGCTTAATTTGATATTGTTCTGTTTTAGACATCCTTAGCCACACGTTTTGCCCAAGAGACATTTGGAAAACAGTACAAACAAACCATAGGACTGGACTTCTTCTTGAAAAGGATAATATTGCCAGGTAAGAGAATAAAAACTAACACTGAAAGGTTGGGCAGCAGTAAGACTTGCAGAAACAGATTCTTCAAAGTAATATATACTAAATAAGCTTAGTACAGTGCTTTTTATGGCAAAATAAATTAGGTTATTCAGAGGAAATTTTGTTAGTATATTCTTACCAGGTGACAAAGGGTTACGCATTTGCAACTTTTATCTTTAAGTAAAACACAGAATCCGATTTGAAGGAATGCTATCTATATTAATGATTTTTATTATCTCTACTTGAGTGTACTCGCTGTCCATGTGGATAGTGTAACATACAACAATGAAATGGAACTTTAAATATGTTCATTGAAAAAGTATATGTGTTTTGAAAGAAATAGATTTTTTTTTTTTTTAAAATGAAATACACAACTTGTATTTGAGTTGTGTGTGAGAAGCATAATGCAGCTATGGAATCGCAGTGCTCTAATATGTGAATGCTGTTTTATGCAAGGCAGCATGAAATTGCTGGCATTTAATAGACCACTAAAATTTAGGGTCCCTCGGCACTCATAAAAATACAGTTTGAGCATTCAAGATGTTTCACTTCACGACGGCAAAGAAACTATTTAGATGCCAGTTGCAGCGCACTGCATGGAAAATGCAAAGAAATAATTAAAAAAGAATAGTTGTGGGTAGAAGTTTGTCTCTAAACAATTGGGGGTTTGAAATAAGTCTTTTCATTGATTTGCGGTTGCTCAATTTCTAAGTATGACAGTATTTCATTAAATGCATTTTCTTCTGGTTTCAGAAATCAGAAGAAGTTAGAAAAAGTATGTGCAATTATTAGAAGTTGTAGTGAGATTTGATGAAGTTGATGCAAGTTCTGTAGTTCTGTCTTTTTTCCTTGTGGAGGGCGGGGAGGGAAGCAAACCCAGAAATGAAACATTTTAGCTATAACCTGAAGTTAAAAGAAAATATATACAGTTCTTGAACTTATTTTGTTAAAATTATATTGCCAATAATTTCTTGATTATGATTATATATTTTCTTAAGTGACACAGAATAATCTTTCAGACTATTCCTGCATACACTATTTTGGTTTGGCCATTTTGCTGTGCTATTTTAGTATCTGGTGAGTGAGAAAGTACCGAATTTCAGTGCTTATTTCTCCATAAAATCAACAGAATAATTTTTTTTATTGTCCTGCTCATGCCTCTAAAAATACCAGTGTGCATAATACTTAACAGCAGTACTTGCAAGTGGAATGTGTACACAAATCATGCAGTGTACATGCTGAGAACTTGTATTTTGCAAGTTTTTTTCCAGCTGTTAAGCATACAGAAGCTATTAGTACATTACTGGGGTTCTAAATATTCTTGTTGAGTAGAAAATTTGGAAAATTATCAACTATTGATTTATTAATGTTTTACTTTCTTCAAGTGTATTTTGTAATAAAATCAGAATGTAGATGAAAATAGCACCAAAACAGCAACAAAGTCTGTGCATGTATTTTCCTTATTTATCAGTAACCAGATAGTAACGTTCGTGGAATGTATTCATATTCAGGAAGAAGCATTTTTCTGTAGATTGTCATTCTGTTTTTGCCTATGTCTATATATGTGTTTAGGTATATATGGATTTCTGTATTTTATAGGTAAGCTGAACTGGTGGTGGGGAGTGAGAGGGAAGGAAGAGAAGAGGGAGGGAGGTAAAATTTCTAAATACTGGAATGGGAAGCATTACTTAAGTAAGCGGATTTTTCTAATTTCTTGATTAGTTCTGGGTTTGCAGAGCTGCTATGTTTACTTGAAAGGTTAATTCATACTGCTGCACAGAAATTATAATATGTATATCAGTGGGAAAAAAGCCTTGATTTCTCTTATTTAGTAGGAGAATTCATTAATAACTATGGTTTGGTATTTGATTTTTTTTTTTCTTTAAACGTAACCAAAGATTTCAGAAGTTAAAATCACTGATTTCTAGAATTGCACAGAAGTTTACATTAGGCCACATTAGAAATGCATTTTAGCTTGTAAAATAAAGTACTGTTTTTCTGTTGTTTTTTTTTTCATTTTAAAAATAAAAGCTGTATTTGTCTCCAGTTATTTTAGTAACTGATGCAGTTTTGCAGTGAAAAAAGTAAATATTTCACATGGTAAAACAATATGGTTTAATACAAATAGTAAATGCTTTGATTAGTTTTGAACAATGACTTTTAGTGTTCCACTGTTGACAAATTCTCTTCATGCAGTTTGTTCAAAATATTTTTTCAAATGCAAATCAACTTCAGTATATTTATTGATTGATGCAGTATCTTGTATAGTCTGGATGCAGCCACGGTGTACATTTTACTGCTTAAATAGTGTATCTGTTAGAGGGCCTGCTGATAGATTCTTGAGAGCCATAGTCGAATACTTTTAGGAAGGTTGTGGGTGCAGTCCAGTAAACAGGATTCTTCTGTTAAAAGGATTTTTTTAAGTCGTCGGTGCAAAAAGTGGGCAGACTCGTGTTTTTAGTTCCATCTTGACTGTGCAGCACTTCAAGTAAGGTTAACCAATGCACCAAGTATACTTCTGCACGATCCCTACTGAATCAGCCCAGTGGCTTCAGTTCGTACCAGAAACAATCTAGATACCTGCACTGTGTTGCCTCAGTTATTTTGACTTCACACTTGTGTGCATTTTCTACAGCGTAAAGAAGTGCTAGTGTTTTCTTGTTCCTTATCAGTGTATTACATATTATTTTTATGGGATTCTTCAGTTATTTTTATTGGTATGTTAACCTTGTTTCTAAGAACTGTCTTATTATGCATGGTTTCTTTCTGTTCTGTTGTCATCTCCAGTTTGTATGTTCCTCTTAAATCTATGAAAAAATAGATTTCAAACTCTGCGGAAAACTTCATGTGCTGCTCTCATAGTTGTTAATTAAATATTTGCTAGGCAAATTGTCCGGCGTTTTTCCTTCTGTCAGAATAATTCTAACATCCTTCTTTCTCCCCCAAAATCAATCTGAGCACAAAGCAAATATTACAGGACGTAATTGAAAAAAAGGGAAAATGAATCATTTTGCACTGGAGATGGTCAGCATGAATTTCAGTAGTTAGTGAGGTCTTAATTGAGAACCACTTCACCTTAAATGAACATTCCAACCTTTTTTCCCCAGTTTCTTTTTTCTGTTGTTAGCGAAGGAAAGTAAATAATTCATAATAGTAGATTTTTAAGTTGAACAGTCACTGTTAGACCATTTAATTTAACTTCCTGCATTAAAGTTTCTCAGATAATTTCATGCAGTTATCCAGATACTAAGCCCAGTATGCTGTGCATGATTACTACTCTAAGGAGCAAAAATGAAGTTAGAAGCTTTTTAAAGCATTTGAACACAAAATTAGGCATCTGAAAATTGTTGAGTTTGAAAGTGATAATATTTATAAAGCTTTTTTTCCAAATAGCTGGCATGAATGGCATGGTAGGTTTCTAGCAGAATATATACAACCAAGTTAGGGGTAAGAATACTGCAGCATTATGAGTGTTTGAGCAAGTTTAGTTTGTATACCTACTGAGGATGCATAGTCATTTCAGACTGCGGATTCACCATTTTGTCCACACGAGATGCTTTATGGAAGACTTTCCTGTATTGTTTGCAGTCACTTATGTTCTAAGCTTTAAAAATAATTAATTAATACATAGTGTATGCACTGTCAAAACAAATAAGCTTTTTATTCTATGAAAGGTTGCCTTTATTGAACTTGAGTGTTTATGATGTATTTACTAAGCTCCATGTAGAAATTCTTTATCTTAGTATCAGATAAAACGCAGTGTAGCTTAAAAGTACTGTGAATGGATTGTCTCACATTCGTCTCTATATATTTGAGACTAAAGTAGCACTTTAGGAAATCTGCGCTTTTAACCAGATTAAAGCAAGATGCGTCATAAAAATATAATGTGGTATATTTAATACCACAAGTAGTGTACGTTCAGCTATATAGTTCTAATTTGCTGTTTATATTCACCGAGTGCTGGGATATATTTCCATGCAGCACACTCCCTTGCATAACTAGTGTGAGTGTGTTAGTTATAAATTGATGGCTGAATAGATCACATTGTGTAAAATGAGGCTGTTAATAACATAAAATAGTTGAATTAAGAGTATATCTTTCTTAGCAGCCCAAAATATTGTCTTCTTTTTCACTCAGCTCTCAATTGTTGTGATGTGGAATTTGTTGCAATTTTTTTTTTAAATGTAGGAGTAAAATTAACAGGCGGTTATGATTATTTGTGAGTATGTAGAATTGTTATTAACATGTAAGTTGTGAGTTTTATGTAGATTAGAAAATTTTTCATCAGACCTTACTGTATTAGAGTTTGGTGCTTCCAGGTAATCAGTACAGTTTTGAAAACAGTTCTCACCATGCAAAATGAGCCAAATTATACTCTAATATGTTTGTATGCATGTGGTGACATACATTGCTAGGTGTATGTTTAGTCTGTGGGTTTCTGAGTTGTTAGCTTGTAGAATATGTATGACTTGTAGGATATTAAATATTCTGTATTTACACTGATTTTTTCGTTACTTTGTTTTTGAAAACCTGTTAACAGTTTCAACATAGCTTAAAGAATGTTTAGAATAGGAAGGAAGATCTGTTCTTGGTGTAGCTTCTTGAAAGATGAAATTATGTAAATCATGTCCAATTTCGTTGCCTGCTTTGGGGTGGTGGGTGGAGGAAATAATCATAGTTCGCATCCTCAACTTAGATGTGTGTCAGTATTTCCATTTTTTAGTCTGTCAACTATATAATTCTTTAGATGTATAGTACTAAGAGCATCACTATCAAAATGCAGTTACTATGCAGATTTTCCCTGCTTCTAGATTTGTAAAGAAAATTTGGAGGGGGGGAAAGGGACATAGAGTATGAAATAACGTGGTTAAGTTGACATTAATTGTGTTACCTTTCAATTCCAAGTACTGTGCTATAGAACTTTCTCTGTAAAGAGAAAGTTTTATATGTTTCTTCAGTGAAGTATGTATATAATTTCAAAGCAGGAATCTTATACTTTATGCAGTTCCAATTCTTTTCTGTTAAATATGTTAATATCTAGGTATAGTTTTACTGCATCTTCATGAATTAGCTGGGCACAAGTGACTTTTTTCCAAACAATACAATCATCTTTGTGTTGACATTTAGTTACTATTTATTGTATACTTGTAAAAAGCTATTGCTTTTGATACGCTAGAGCTGTATTACCTGTCGTGATAATATATTTTTAGTTTTATTTATATCTAAATTTTCCAGGTTATACAATATCTGTATCATTTTCTTTTTCAGGAAATTTGAATGTTACTCTTCAAGTATGGGATGTAGGGGGGCAAACGATAGGAGGCAAAATGCTGGATAAATATATTTATGGAGCTCAGGTACAGTATAAATGATGATAATTGTATCTATAGTGATTATATAAAATTCATTGGAACTTTGTTCTTAAAATTATACATATCTTACAGGTTGTTGTTTTGTAGATCTCAAAAATGTTGAATCTCTGCTTAACCTAAACTTAATTGATATTAAGATGAAAGTCTAATTCTGGTATGTACTTAATTTTTTAGAGCAAAGCAAGGGTGTGTATTTGTAGGTCTGAATAACTCTCAAGAACAGATGTATGTTTCCATGCTTTGTGTCTTGAGTTAAGAGAAGCAATCACAGTAAATAGTAAAGGCTATTTGGATATCCACATGGTAGATATAGTGGCTGCTTTTAGAACAGATGCCTCCTGGGGGAAAAAAGTAGAAGGAGGAAATTAAGAGCAATCCTATACCATTAAACTCATACATGCAACTGGGGTTATAAGAGGGCAAACAAAAGGAGGCAACCAGGTAGCTAAATATTTTTGCAGAACTCTTATCCAATGAAAATTAATTTTATCTTGAGGTTAACTAAGCAACTTAAAGTGAATGGTAGGATTAAGTAAGAGCTAAATATTATAACAGTATCTTGAGTTATGAGATGGTTTAGGAGGATGTACTATACGCCAAACTTCTTAACATGACCGATCCTAAAATGTATTCTGTTCTTTAATTTGGAGTTTGTAATGAGAACAATAGGCATAACATTTTATTACATAATGTTATATTTATCTGAAAAGAAAACAAATGCACCTATTTTTCCCCCAATACTTTAAGCAATAGGAATATGGAATCCTAAAACTTTTATTGGACAGAAACTCTGTACTAAGAAGTACAGCACAGGAATGGCTAATTAAGGAGATTAGGATTTATTAGTTAATAAGATAAAGACAAACTTGTCAATTTAACATTTTGACACTTTCAAAAAATGTCAGAAAATGTTTTTAGCTGTTGCATTTGTTTTATACCATTCTCTTATTTTTTAATAAAAAACATTTTCCTGCCCTGTTAAAGATCTACCAAGCAACAGGAGACGGTGGCTTCCATGACAGAGGGAATTTGATTAATCACAAATTGTTGCCATATGCCCAAAGTAAACTCAATGAAGGAAATAAAAGGCTATTAACTTTTTCTGTATTGAATTTGGTGATAAACTTATGAGTTTTTTATCAGCAAAAGCAGGTCAAAAAGTTAATACCAGTGCCCCAAAGTAGTGAAAAAGTTGATATCAGTAAGCCTAAAGTTAAAAAAGTTTGATTTTTAGTGTTTCTGAGCACATAAACAAAAAAACCCTACGTCCAATCTCTTCTCCTTTAATCCTCCCCCAACCCTCATTGTAACTCTAATTTTTTTAGTGAACTCGTGTGTGGGGATTAACGACACGGACTCTGGCAAGCAGCAACCAAAGACCTTTTATTGCTTTTTGTTAGTGATTTTTATAGTAAAGAGAAGTGTCCACGCACTACCTGCAGTTTGCAGATAGGTTAAAGCCTTAAGTTCATGCGCATCTATACCGTAGCGGATCAGTCTGTTCTTCTTGCGCACACGACATTCCTTCATAGCCTTTAGCTACTTTTTTTTCCTTTCTCAGCAACTCCTGTCCTTCTCCGTTATCTTCAGCTTCGTGCCTTCTCGCGCCTCAAGGGCACGCTGCTTGCTCACCAAAATCAAAATCAAATTCAATACTGTCCATTGTTAATTCAATACTGTCCATTGTTAAGCTTTCCATCCCCACATCTCCCCCTTTTTGTTTTACTAGAAACACTGTTGAAACAGATTTCTCAATCATTTTTCGTATACCTTGTAACAAACACGGCACACAAACCAGAATGCAAAGGAATATCACCAAGCATAGTCCTCCTAGCTTGGCTAATCCTTTTAACCAGCCATTTAAACCCCATCCCCCGAATAACTTATCCAACCAGTTCCAGGGGTCTTCCACTCTTAATTTCTGTACTCCTTCCTTCAACATTTGAATGCTGCGGTGAATTGATTCCGAATGGTCAGATAAAT